TCTAAGCTTGCAGCTGTATCTGGGCTGCAAAGTTGTTCCTCTAGTGCTGATATGAATAGAAGAACACAGCTGGACTTTTTGTCCACAGTGGTAAAATATTTGTAAAATCTGACATAAACACAACCTATTAATTATGGAGAGAGACTAAAGCTGGGACCCCATAAAGTTATCTTTGCAGAGTTATTCTGCTGACTCAAATCACATTTTAAATGATGGCATCCTCAGCATCGATCTGAAATACTTTACCTTTAAAAACAGAAGGAGCTGTTTCTGAAATAAGATATGCAAAAGTAAGAGGCTAGCTGGAAAAGCATAGATTTGAAATCACTGAGGTTATTGGATCAAAATGGTTTTAAACTCACTTGCCACATACAAATCTTTGAATTTTGATAACAGACTTAAACCTAAGGCATGAAACTATAAGAATTCTAGAAAAAAATGTTGGAAAAACTCATATAGACATCGGCCTAGGCAAAGAATTTATGAAGAAGACCCCAAAAGCAATCACAGCAACAACAAAAATAAATAAATGGGACCTCATAGAATTAAAAAGCTTCCGCACAGCCAAGGAAACAATCATCAAAGTGAATAGACAACCTACAGAATGGGAGAAAATATCTGCATACTACACATCCAATAAAGGGCTGATAACCAGAATCTACGAAGAACTCAAGTACATCAGCAAGAAAAAATTAAGCAACCCCATTAAAAAGTGGGCAAAAGACATGAACAGAAACTTTTCAAAAGAAGATGGACTAATGGCCAACAAACATATGAAAAAATGCTCAACATCTCTAATCATTAGGGAAAAATACAAATCAAAACCACAATGAGATATTACTTAATTCCAGTGAGAATAGCCTTTATCAAAAAGTCCCAAAACAACAAATGCTGGCGTGGACATGGAGAGATAGGAACAGTCATACATTGTTGGTGGGACTGCAAACTAATACAACCTCTGTGGAAAGTAGTATGGAGATACCTCAGAGAACTAAAAGTAGACCTACCATTTGATCCAGCAATCGTACTACTGGGTATTTACCCAAAGGAAAAAAAGACTTTTTATCAAAAAGACACCTGCACTTGAATGTTTATAGCAGCACAATTCACAATGGCAAAGATGTGAAAACAAGCCAAGTACCCATCAATACATGAGTGGATTAATTAAATGTGGTATATGTATACCATAAAAAAATGGTGAACTACCTTTTGTATTATCCTGGGTAGAGCTGGAGACCATTCTTCTAAATGAAGTATCACAAGAATGGAAAAACAAACACCACAGGTACGTACCGTTAAATTGGAACTAATCATTCAACATTTATGTGCACATATGGAAATAACACTCCTCGGAAATCAAGCAGGTGGGAGGGGGGAGGAAAGGATGGGGAAATTCACACCTAACGGGTACAATGTACACTATCTGGGTAATGGGCACACTTATAACTTTGACTCAAATGGTATGAAAGCAATTTATGAAACCAAAATATTTGTACCCCCATAATATTCCGAAATAAAATTAAAAAAAAACAAAACCAAAAAAAACCCAAACAAATATTTAATATTTGGGTTTCTGTCAAACTCTTTCCTGATTTTTGGCATTCATTTGGCTTGGGAGGTTCTGGTGAGGCAAATGAGAAAAGCAAGCAGAAAGGACCAGTATGTGCAATCAATCATCCAGGCACACCCAGTGAACTTAAAAGCTCAATATGTGGACTTCACCAATACCTCACTAACTTACAGAAGAGGGTTTGGAGGCCTGAGCGACTGCTGGCTGCAGCAGAGGCTCTCCCTGCAGGCACTCAAAGCACAGCACTGTAGCCCAAACTAGTAGATAGACTCTTGCCTTTCCTTCTAGATTGTACACATTGAAAGGTAAATGAAATTTAGAGTGAAATACCTACCAACAGTGTATACTGTTCAGATTTATTGTTGATACAGTACTGGGGGTAGGATGGAAGTGAGAAGTTAATGAATTTAAGCAAAACCAAACTCAGCTCTCCACCCACATTGTAGCTGTTCCAGCTTCACTGAATGTGCATTTGAAATCAGAAGAGTTAATGTGATGAAGATCCATTCTTGGTAATATAATATTTCTAAGAAATGCAGCTTAAAAGAACTGCTATCTTGAAAGAGCTTCCACTCCAGACCATAGCATGAGAAATAAATGCCCTCCACCCTCTAAAAGCATATGAGAACAAATTCCGCCATGTCTGACATCCAGCTGAGCCCAGTCATTAGCAGAAGCACAAGCCTCTCCAGCCATCTGTTAATACCAGTATACTCATTCCCAGACTGTTCCTGGGCATAATCTGATCACACATAACCCCTCACCACTTTCCCTCCTGTACCCTTCCACCATGTCCTCTGGAATTCTCATTCAGAGATGAGCAAACTCGCCTATATCCTCAGCCTCCATGAGCTCTGAAGGCTCCCTCTGCTTCCTTGTCCTAGCTGGAATCCGGCTATCTCCAGAAGATTGCGAATTCCCTGAACCCTCTCATGTGGAAGGTGACCATGTCTCTTAATGCAGTGGATCATGGAGCCAGGTGACAGAGTACTCGCCTTCCTCCTCATTAGCACTTTCAGATCATTATTCCCATGACTCCCTCAAAAATCCCTGCTCCTCTGAGCTCATGCTCCCTCTCTCTCCTTCTCGACCTTGGTCCCAAGTATACAGAAGGTCTAACAACCTCCTAATTGATCTCCGTGTTTCTACTCTTGTTCCTTGCTAGTCTAGGCTCCATGCAGTAGTAACAGTGACCTTTTAAAATTGCCAATCAGACCATGTCACTCTTCTGCTTAACATACCTCAATGGCCTCTTCACGTACGTAAAATAAAACCCACTCCTTCCTGACGCTCCTGAGTCTCTGCATGACCAGGCCCTGCCCACTTTCTCAATCTCGTCACCTGCTATGCTCCTCACACTGGCTCACTCTGCTCCAGGGCAGGGCCTCCTTTCCCTTCCTCAAACACATTTAGCTCTTTTCTGCCTCAGCTAAGCAGCCACCCTCCATGAAAATGTGACTTGTGAAAGATCAGAAAATCACCAGAAGGCTCAGGAATAGTTCTTAAAGAGTATGGCAAAGGGGAGAAAAAAACTCTACCACTGGGACAAGGTCTGAAAGTCAGGTTTGCAAGCCAACCCCATCCTAATCACGGCACACACAGAAACACAATGAATCACTTTGCAAAAGGTTATCCCCCTAAAGCTAAAAGTGTTGTCACTAGCAATACAAAACTGGGAGGCTTGCTGCAAAAATTAATTATTCCCCATGGGAGTCAAGGCATGAATTTTAGCCTGAGACAAGGGCCCAGGGAAGCAAATGATTCCAACTTCCAAAGGATCTCAAGTCTGAAGATAATTCAGGTCCTACCGGGACTACCTATCTTCATCCGCCTAAACACATATACATACATTCATTTATCCAATCACTCTCACATTCTCCAAACCATTAAATGGTCCTAGAGATAAGAGCTCAAAAACTTGGAGTTTAGGAAATGCTATTCATTTCCTCTTTCAATTTCCACACCTGAAAAGTCACCATGGCATCTACCATTTATGACAGCTTAAACATTCACTAAGTACTTGCAACAATTTTCATGGGAAAACTTTTCAGTGACTCCCATGAAGTATCTTCCAAGTATTATTCCCATTCACAGAAAAGGAATAAATATAAATGAGGCAGTTAAGTGCTTTTTAAACATCAGGGACAGAAGCAGGAAACAAAACCTGATTTTTAAAATTTCATTAGGGTATGTTTGAAAATGATCATGGTTATCAATAATTTCTTCCAAGTATTTCTTGTGCTCTCTCAGAGGAGATGCTATAATCAGCAGACGGATTAATAAGGGTGGATGATTGGAATGGCTGCAGGAGGAGCTACTAAGGTGGAGGTTCAGTCCCTACTCTATGAAATGCTGCATAGTTCTAGCTTTCCCAGTTTCCAAATTTAAGCTATTCAGTATCATATTGTTTTGGATTCCAATATCCTCATTTTTTCTAACGTCCTAGAAAAAATAACAATATTTATAATCAGATTGACCTTTTTATACTCCACTCTTCCCAATAGTGTGTAAAGAAAGCCAACCAATTAGAAAGGGAGGTCCTCGGACCTACAATGCACTGGGTGCTCTCAGAGTCTCTACCACCAGATGTGCTTGCACAGCCATCTCTTCCGGTGACACGAACGGGGTTCACATCCTGCAGAAGGACTAGAGAGAGGAGTGGTTAGAGAAAGGCCCAACTTTCCTCAGCTCCACCACTTTGAGCCCCTCACATTTGGAGGATTCATCTGATGAAGGACACAGTCTATCCAGGGGTAATTTGCTAGAAAAACAAGGCTTTTGGCATCTAAACCTCCAGTGCATCACAAACTTCCTGCTATTATCTAATAATATCCCCCCCCCAGCCATCACTGTTTCCATGGTAACCGACAGAGAAATAGCAGCCTGCCAAATGGCTTTTGTAGTTCCTCTTCCAGTCTGTTTTTCAGTAAAGAATTAAAGCTTGCTGGGAAAAGAACCAGACTAATCTTTGCAAACAGGGACACAATGTGGTTTGGAAAGTACAACTGGGTTTGGGAAAAGACGTGTAGATGAACCCCACCTGACAGAATAATAAAGGTCTACTGAGATATATTTGGTAAGCTTTACCTTGGTCTTAGGACAGTATAGCCTGACTGGCCAGAATACAGATACAGAAGATCACTTGGTCTTTGATTTGAACTAAGCAAAATAAGGGATTGGAGAGAATGGAGAAGCAAGCTCCAACAAGTCCCCACATGCTTTACTATCATTAAACGAAATGGCAATTTACTCCAAAATCAAAATGAACACGCTGGACTTGGCAGACTTGGACTAAAGGACAGTGAAAAAAGGATCGGCACCTTGGAGAAATAAAATGTGTAATTCCAGGGATGATGTATGCAAGAAACTGACTGAGCCAAGCGTATGAATCAGAGGGGCACCGGTGTTTAGGAAACAGAGATCTCCTTACCATCTCAGCACAGGCAGAAATTGTCAGGAATACAGTGCATGGAACTGGGGCAGCTTTCAGAAGATCAGCAGCTCCAGAGATGTGCTCGAGCTGCCAGATTGCAAAACAAATAGCTGCTGCAGCGATGGAGGAGTTTGAATTTCTTAAAAATCATGACTAATCCTCTTTGAAAGTGGCCCAAAACAAACGCTTTTCTGTCTCAAAACTGCATACTTAAATGAAATGCAGGAAATTGCATGACTCTTCTATGCCCGTGTCAGATGAGAAATTATGACTCAAGTCAACCAGGTATTAGCTTCTCCTCTGATGGGTCAAAGCTAATAAGAGTTTGAAAGATTCCCTCCCACAACCTCTAACATACTCCGAATGTCTTGTCAACAGACATGAAAATTACAGTCTATAGCGGCATACTGAGACAGGTCCCAGGAGTTACAGGAAGTCAGACTCCTATAAATCCCACACAGAAGACTAACCTAATTTATAGTTTTTAATTTATGCTTTTACCTTGAGTTGTATGAATCATGAGTCATGTTCTCAGAGTTAGAGTTTAGGGAAAAGAGTAGACAAAGACTTGCAATAACTATTTCCTTCCAATCCTTCAGAAAAAGGATCATTTATAAGATAAAGATGATGCACTCTACGGTATTTCAAAGGCTGTCAACTCAAAGAAAGGCTTCTGAACTTCTAGTTTAGCTACAATTGTGGATTAGGATTTTTGGATTCTATCAATGAAACTTGAAGCAATCTTTTCAAAAGTTTAAACCTGTGTCCTGTTTACAAAAGAATGGAATTTATAAGTTCTGAAAAAAAAAAGGCATTTTAAACTACTAATGTGTGATTAGTAAATTTATTAATGTGTGACTATAATTTCAAATATATTAACATTCAATTTCCCCATCTTGAACAAAAGCCAGAATTGAGAGGACATACAAAAATTGCATCAAATTCATAGTTAAGACTAGATGAGAAGCCAAAACTTACTAGAGTCAATAACCTGAGGTACTAACATGTTTATATTTCTTTCCAAATCTGTTCCCTCAGCCAACTTTATCTGAAAATCTCAGACAAATTTTCTTACTTATTAGATCTGTATTTTCATCAAGTCAGCTACCATAGTTACTGTGCATATTCCTTTGCTGCTAGTAAATAATTAAGGGGACTTTACTACTTTTTGAGTGTTTCATGGCCTGTGCTTTTCGTTTGTGTTCATCAAAACAGACTCCAAGAAGGCTGAGGAGAAGAGAAAGCTTTAGTGTGGGGTATGGGCAATCTCCCTCTTCAACACAGATTCTGTTCCAAACGGTTGCCCACAGAAACAGTGCTGTCTGTGGTAGTTACATTCTCTGTCTGCACATTAACCTATAACATAACTGAATTACCAAAAAGAAGCTCTTGATCACCATGCATTATATATTTATATGAGAAAATGAAGAGCTTCAGCTGCCTGGAGGGGAGAAGGAATGGGGTATTTATGGGCACCAGAAGATAACTAATGCTTAATAGTTGCAAATTGTTTCTATAGTAAAACTAATTATCCAGAAAGCATACTTTGGGGATTCTTAAGCTCCTAATCTATAAATAGGCCAAAAATGTTTTTAAAAGGGGGTAGTGGTGGTGAATGTATGCGTGTAAAGAAACAGTAACTGAATACCTAAATACTTAGCAACAAAGAAAACAGCTGCAAAGGACGAAAGACCAGGCTTATACCAAAGATTATATACACTACAACTTGTTTGCCAATCAGAAGGAATGAAGGCTAACTCTAGGAGGAAGACACAGCACCAGCATGTGCTAGATGAGCTCCAGGAGAGCTCATTCACTGCTAGAGCCTCAGGTGCCATGACCACACCTGGCAAAAAGCTGATGTTCCATATGTCTGGCTTGAGAAGGTCTGCACTTAAACAATGAGACGCGCAGTGTTTCTCTGCTTTTATATAACAGGAGCTAAGGGCAGGATGAATTCTTCATATGTGTGAACCTGGTATTTAACTGAGTGGAAGGGTGTGTACAGAAGTATAACCACACCTAAAAAGAATATAGCAAAGGCTGGGTTGTCTGAGTCTCAAGTAGTGCTCCTTGCTACACGAGAAGGCTGCTTGCCAGTGTAACCATGAAGGCTATTCAAAGTGCCCAGGGAGCAAGTTCACTCAATAACACATGGCAACTGACAATCCACTACTACCAATGACCAAAGTTTCTGTGTAAACAAAAGCAGAGAAAACCTAATCAAGGGAAATCATACCAACAAAAGGACCTTAATGGCATATATGCAAAATAACGCAATATACTTCATGGAAGCATATTACCATGCATGGAAACTCAAATACACATGAGGTAAACACCCAGTCTGTTAATGGTATTCTCAGAGATGTATATCTGATAAAGAACAAACATGAGCACCAACTGACTAATAATGATGTGGTCTGGATTAGGTCATATACAAAAAACAGCCTATTGGTTGGGCTTCCACACTGACTGGGTCTGGTTTAATGTTACAGGCCGAATGATCAGGAATTTTGGTTAGGAAAATTCACAAACCCTGGAAATAAAATAATTTGGTAGACGTTTGCTCTTTTCTTGGAGTTCTTTCTACCTTAGTCCTAAGGTATTACACTGTTGATTCAAAAGAATTAATAACCCTGGTATCCCTCAAATGTCATGCAATCTAGGTAAGATTGGGGTGGAAAACTGAAGTTATTATATGGTAAGTTTAGTCACGGCTTTTGTACCCGAATGTGGACAGATCATCACCTCTGATAATCTGGCTTGAGTTTCCTCTCTCTGAAAGAGTTACAGATCCATCTGTGTTTCAGAAGGCTAAGGAATGAGGATACATGTGATGTCCCTTACAGAGAAGTGGCCACATCACCATGAAGAATATTTATAACGAAGCCTTCTTCAGTGGCATCTTCCTTGTGCCTCCTTTCCTTCCCTTCTTGCCCCCACTAGCTTGAGTCATCCTTCATAATCTTTCTTTCTTAGCATTTACCACAATTGCAGTTATTTGAGTAATTAGCAGTATCTGTCCACCCCCACTAGACTGTATCTCCATGAGGACAGGGACTGTGTCTGTCCTTTCCATCAGTGGAAACGAGCCCCCAGCACCAGGTACGGGGCAGGCAATTCCTGTCGGATAAGTAAATGAATGGGCACTTTGGAAGCTAAACGTTAACCATGGGGTAAGCAATCAGTTGAAAATGTTTTATCAGCGAAATGTGTATTCCTATCCTCTAAATCTGAAAGGAGGAGCTTTTAGGAGCTCCAGTTTTTTCACAGAATAATGGGAGGAAGGAAGAGCATAAGAAAAAGAGAATACTCACTGGCGGTGGCTTCTTCCTCATCTCAAAAGTGCGTGTGGCACCAAAACTGAGTGAAGCAATGACGGGGCACCTCCCGAGTGAGGGTTCATCGTCGCTGTGCCAGTCCACACTGTCCTTCTCATTTCGGTAAAGATTGCAGAGCAAGGAGTTGAAGGTGTGGCCGGTATTCTCTTCGACGCGGCTCTTTAGTGTGCTCAGCACAGGATGCCACTGCAATCAACAGGCAAAGCAAAGGGCAGAGACAGTCACATAAGACACGGGGTGGCAGCCACATGGAAAAACAGAAAAGGCAAAATCAGTCAAGTTATAAACTGGGACATGGAATAAGCAAACTGCTTGGAATGCAATAAACAGAAGGCAAGAAGAATAGTGCAATTCCCTCCTGTCATGTCTACTTTGAAGAAAGTTGACCTCTGCAATGTTATAGAAGTACTAAATTTGGTATAGCAACGTCATGAGGACCAGGGTCTATCTACCCATCTCATCCTTTCTATGACGCTTGCAAAGAAGCAAATGTCAGCATATTCAGGGCAGTGACCTTGATAAGTCACTAAGGTGGTAAGTGCAGCAGTAAAGCGGACACGTTGCCAGGTAGTTAGCAGACTCAGAGTGACGTCTGAAGAGTGAAACAACTTTCCTACCGGGTGGCTCTCTGTTCAGTCTATTCCTGTTTTATCCTGAATGGCAGAATTTCTTTTTTAAAAAGATATTTAAAACTTACAGAGTGGCTAACTTCCTAAAAACAGAACCTGAAAGGGAAAAACATTCTTTTCTACAGAATGGGAATCATGACACGCTCTTAACAAGCACATGGACTGTGAACTACACAAGTCCTAAACACATTCCACGGCCCCACCTCCTGGACATTGAGTTCACTGACGTAGTTTATATTTCAAACTGTCTTGCCAGGTGTACTACAGGAAGCTGTGATCCCTGACCTTAACCCTAACCCTAACCCTGTACTCGGGAGCTACAAAGAAAATAGCTTGTATTGGTTCTTACTAGAATTCTATGTCTTTCTTCCCAGAAATCAAGTGCTTTATAGAGCTTCCTTTAGAACAGTGGTTCTCAAACTTTACACCATTAAAAATTATTGAGAACCCCAAAGAACTTTTGTTTATTGGGTTATACCAATTGGTAGTTACCATATTTAAAATGAAAACTGAAAAAAGTTTAAAATACTGGTTAATTCATTTAAAATGCAATAACAAAAACAAATATTTTTTGAAAAATAATTAAAATTTCCAATACAAAAAATTGAGAAGAGTGGCACTGTTATGCAATCTCTTTAATGTCTGACTTAACAGAAGAGTTGATTCTCATATCTGCTTCTGCATTCAATCTATTAAAATAGGTTGTTTTGTTGAAGCATATGAAGAAAACTGGATTCATACACATAGTTTGTATCCTTTTTCAAATAATTCTAGATATTTTTCTTTGATATTGTACCAAAAATCAAGTGCTGATTTCTTAGAGGTTAGCTGAAATGTGGAATCTAAAACCATATCAAACTTTTCATATTTTTTTACATTTAAATCCACTGGTCCAGCTTGAAATTTGAAAGGATCTTTAACCTTGTATGGTTTTATAACATCAACCATTGGTCATCTGGAAAATATTAGTTCACTGAATTACAAAGATCTTCTAAATGCTGATGCATTTCATTATACAGTAACAAAAAATCACATCTGTTATTACCACTGATCATCAGAAAAGTATAAGTAATGGGAAGAGATCAGGCTCAAAGTGGAAGATACCAGTTTTCTAAAATTCTAATTTTTGCTTGAAAACACAACTTTTATCATTAGTAATAAATCCTGTCCATTGTTTTCCTTGAAGTGACATTCACTTCATTCATTTATGAGAAAATACCTGACAAATACTCAAGTTTTAATAATTGTAAGTCTGTTTGCCAGTTGTCTTCTAAGTAAAAATGGTCCATGAAAAAAGTAGCTAGTTCAGCTTACACCTCAAAACGATCACACCTTGATTTGTATCAAGAGTGCTTTAGGCATACTTTCAATTTCATCAAAAATCTATTAAGAAGATATTTGCTCAAAGACTGAGATTTAGTAAAACTAATAATTTTTACTGCTTCATCAAGGGACATTCTTAAATCAAACAATCATTTTAAAAATTTTAAACTGGAAGTGCATGGTGATGAAGAACATAATGACTACTAGTATGGTTTGATGACAATGACTTGATTCCTGCTAAGGTGCCAGCGGTTTTATCCATTATTACTTTTGCACCATCAGTGCAAATTCAACACAGTGAAAATGTCATATTTTCTTAGTGTTGTTACAAAAATAGTTTTACTTACCGATTCCCAAAAAGGGTTTCCCTTCCAGGGAATCTGAAGATTACACTGTAAGAACTGCTACTTTAGAGAACTCCTCCAATGTCTGACTATGTTATATGTCGGGTGGTGAAGGAATGGATGTTCAGCAAAGGAAAGATAATGCTAAGTACGTCCCATGGCTACTGTCAGGTAAAACTGCCGGGGAAGCATATGTGAGAATCACTCAGTTTTACTATGATGTGAAAACCATGGTTAAAGCTGGAATTCTTGTTGTGGATATTAGTATTACATTCTAAGCAGAGGATTTAAACCTGGAGAGACTCAGGAAGCCTCTGGAAGTTGGAAGTTTCTGCATCTTTCTCTATTGTGGTAGAAAAAAATATAACATGAGATCTACCCTCATAAAACAAAAATGTTATTAAACTAACCTATGTTCAAGAGAATAAATTCTGAAGTGAAATTCCAATAATAATGTCAGTAAGCTGTATTTCCCATTTATTTTACAGCTTTAAATTTATCTTCATGGAGATAAAGATGAGATGCTAGAATTATACACTTAAGGAGCAAAACAAGAATGAAAAAGAGAAAGATAGCTTTTCTACAATGTGACTGTGAATCTAATTAGCACTTCCCTGACTTGCTTGGGGAGGAAGCACTATGATAACATCAAGTTTGCATTATGTTTCTAAGTAGGTATTTTTTCTCTTGGTTATTTTTGGTAGTGAAGTACAGAGAAAAGGGAAAAAAAAGGGGGGAGATAATGAACTACAGGATTAATTTAGACTCTTCAACCAATACTCTATATACAGATTCCCTCAGAACTGAATGTCTAAATTAAAATTCAGCATCATCTCACTGTTCAGTGAAGACATTCTATCCTTAAAAGACATTTGAGGAAAAGAGTACATGAAAATATGAATCACAAAAATAAAAGGACCTAGTCAGTGGATTTTAAACAATGTTTTATAGAGCCCTGGGTACCACAGTGGTGCCTCCAGGTCTAGAGTAGGAGAAAGGAGAGTTGGTGCAACTCCCAGCCAGTAAAGGCTTTGATCAGTTTTATACAATGGGTTCATATAAGATTTAGCTTGAACAAAGACTAAAAGAAACTTAAAAACCTGTGATTGAACCTGCTCCTCTTCCATGGCATATGAAGCTTGAGGTAGCAACAATTTTTAAATTAAACAAGTGCCCCCCACATACATACAGACAACATACATATACACCAGTGCACCCTCCTTTAAGAAAATCTGAGAAGGGTAACTCTTTTGATTTTAAGACAGAATATAAATGAACTGAATCTCTTCACAATAAACACAAAGTTATGAGCCAGTCAAATCCAAATTAAAAAATTCTAATTTGACCACCTTAATATCCAGCTACAGATGGTTGTCTGAATAAATTACGGTAAACATAGATAATTATGGAGTACTATGCAGCTATTGAATATGATGTTGTGGAATAATATTTAATGATACTATAACATGTTAATGATACATAATTAAATGAAACATAGTTTACAGAATTTATTTTAATTTTATAGAAAAAAGATTCTCAAAATATATTTTCCTAAAATAAAAAAGATTGGAACTAAAACATCAGGTGTCAGCATTATCAAAAATTTTAATATTCTTCTTTATGCTTATCTGCAGTTTCTAAATTTCAATAAGCATATATTATTCACATTTTTTTTTAAGACAGGGTCTTACTCTGTTGCCTGGGCTAGAGTGCAGTGGTGCCAACATAGCTCACAGCAACCTCAAACTCCCAGGCTTCATTGATCCTCCTGCCTCAGCCTCCCAAGCAGCTGGGACTACAGGTGTGCACCACTATGCATGGCTAAGTTTTTTAGTTTTTGTAGAGATGTGGTCTTGCTATGTTGCTCAGGTTGGTCTTGAACTCCTGGCCTCAAGCGATCCTCCCACCTCAGCCTCCCAAAGTGCTGGGATTACAGGTGTGAGCTACCGTGCCTAGCCATTGTTTACTTTTTTAAAAAAGAATTGTCATAAAAAAATTCTTTTGAAGAGTTGTCAAAATGTTCCCAAAGTGTCAGAAAATAAGAGGTTACTTTACTCAGCAGATCCTGTGTACCTTAAGTTTATTCTCAAAGAGTGGATCTTAACCAGGGGCAATTTTGCCCACCCCCCAGCAGATGTTTGATAATGTCTGGAGTCAGTTTTAGTTGTCATGACTGGGTGAGAGCTGCCACTGGCAACTAGTGGATAGGGGTCATAGATGCTGCTAAACATCCTACAATGCACAGGGCAGCCCCACAAGAAAGAATTATCCAGCCCAAAATGTCAATAGTGTTGAGGTTGAGAAATCCTGTTCTCAAAGCTAAACTAGAATGAATAAGAAAGGACTTCTTCCCCACACGCCTGTTTAATCCTCAACTTCTCTGCTATGACTGTTGACAAGATGATAAATTAATTCTGACAGAAACAGGGAAGCAACCTATGTTGGACTGGCCTAATTTAATTCTCTCTCTGTTTCCAAATCAATCACAGATATAAAGGGTCTCAGCACTTCCCCGGATCCAATTCTAAATGCAGCCCTGGAAACCAAAGCACACAACTATCTCCTTATGTGAAAAAGCCCTGCACTTTCAGTGAATATTTTATCCCTGAACATCTTAGTAAGGTGGTAGTCTGTGATTACATATTACTAGAAGCTCTGAAATGTGTCACATTGCTATGTATCTCAATGCCATAAGCAAAACTCCATTTTCTTCAAAGTCTCTTCCAATAAAGCGTAACATTATTTGCCAAAGGCAAGATTCCAGAAACTAAACAGGGAGCTATTTCTTGGACCTTAACTCCATCCTCTGGACAAGCTTAATTTATATACTAGAATATCTTTGTCTACTGTCATGGAAATTTTTAAAAACAAAAGCAGCAGTAGAAACAAGCCAAAGCAGTAATAAGTTGGCAGTCTGAGAACTGCAGCCATAGAATGAATACAATATCAACAAGAAAAACATTGGATTTTTTCTCAGATAGCAAAAGAGCCTGAGAAATGGAAAAAGACATTCTGCCCTTACTGGCCAGTCGTAAGGATGTAGCCCCACAGCAAACGCATAGCACGGTGTACACAGAAGGATTACAGCCAGAGAAGCTTGAGGGAGGGGGATATTAGGAGGAGAAACAGTTTATTTTCCTGAGATCCTGGACTCTGGTTCCTGTTTACTCTAGCTCCAGTTTTTTCTCACCCTCTGAGTTCATCTGTGGATCAAAAGCACATAAAGGATGATGAGCACATGTTTGAACCCAGAGGGTTTTTTGAACTAGGAACCAGCATGCATCTCTACAAGGTAATTTATTGTTATTTTATAGCACTGAACACTTACAGTATATAGTCTATAAAACTATACCAACAACAATATTTCAACATACGTGAGGATTTGGTTCCATAGTGATTCTTGAATAAGTGTAAGGAAGTTCTCCATACCATGCTGTAAGTCTTGGTTGCTGATAAGTTATATCTAAGAAAGAAAATACAGGGCCTTTGAAATGGTTTAGTGCTATTGAAGGTATGCTGAGTGCCAACTCTGTGCCTTGCAATGTGTAAGAAGTTACGAGAAATACAAAGGAAAAGTAAGGATAGGCTCCGACCCAAGGTTCCACTTTCATCGAGGCTATGGAAGAAAAGATAAGAGAAGGCATGGCAGACACAGCATGGGCAAAGGCTCCAGGACGAGAACGTGTGTGACTTGTTTGTATCAGTGATGACATAAATAAAAGAGAAGGAGTCACACTTGGGAACAGTAGGGCTCAGACTAGGGACGATCTCAAAAAGCAGGATATGGAGCCTGAACCCGTGCCATAGGAATTTGTGGCACCAACATTCATACGAGAAACCGTTCATCCATGTGTCCAGTATTGTATAAGCCCTTTTGATTCCAAATATAGGAAAAAGTGCTCTGACCAACTGTAGCATGTTGCAGATTTCAGTCAGAGTTTTTGATGTTCGAATTTGTGTAGAGAGGGAGTTATCTATAGATCTGCTATTTTCCCAAAACTTTTTTTTTTTTTTTGAGACAGGGTCTCACTCCATTGCCCTGAGTAGAGTGCCATGGTGTCAGCCTAGCTCACAGCAAACTCAAACTCCTGGGCAAAAGCGATCCTCCTGCCTCAGCCTCCCAAGTAGCTGGGACTACAGGCGCACACCACGATGCCTGGCTAATTTTTCTATTTTTAGTAGAGATGGGGTCTCACTCTTGCTCAAGCTGGTCTCAAACTCCTGAGCTCAAGCAATCCTCCCACCTTGGCTTCCCAGGGTGCTAGGATTACAGGCGTGAGCCACCTCATCTGGCCTCTTTTCCCCAAACTGGAATTAGCCAAGACAACAATAAGAACAATAATAATAAAAGCAGCTAATGTTCACTGAAGGCTGACTATGTACCAGGCATTCTGTTAAGCACTTATCATGCATTATCTCATTTAATTAGCACAACTTTATAAGGTAGAAATTATTATTAGCTCAGTTTTACAGATAAGAAAACCAAGGATCTGAGAGTTACTTAACTGTAATTTGCCTAAAATTAACAATTACTTAGAGTGACAAGCCAACAATCAAAGACAAGTCTGTCACCAAAAGCCCTCTGAGGAAACTGCTGGGAGTTGAGAGAAGGCTGCCCTGAAAAAGCTAACTCCCATTCTGACGTGTAACAAAAATGAAATCATTACAGCTGGCCCTCTACATCGCAGGTTCCACATCTGCAGATTCAACCAACTATGGACAGAAAATATTCAAAAAAATAAAAAACAACCATATAACAATAAAAAATCCAAATAAAAATACAGTATAACAACTATCTATATAGCACCTACATTGTATTAGGTATTATAAGGAATTTAGAGATTTAAAGTATATTGGAGGATGTTCGTAGGTAATATGCACATTATGTGCTATTTTATAGAAAGGTACTGAGCATCCTTGGATTTGGCTACCCACAGGGGCTCCTGGAGCCAATCCCCCATGGATACCAAGGGACAACTGTATATACTTTGCCTCTTTCTTTACAGAAAATTTAAATTCATTCACTGTGCCAGAAAAGAAATTCTATGCTAGAGCACAGACGCCCCCCAGTGACCACCTCGGGTATAACAGGCACTGGTGGCTTGTGGATGCCCACAGAGGAGCAGGTTCAAGTCAGGTAATAAACTGCTGTGTCACCTTTACAAGCTCAGGAGCGTACAGATGCTGAAGCTAAAGGAGACTGGACTCTTCCGGTGAAAGTTAAATAAGAATAAAAAGTCAGTAAGAAGCATCACAAAAGAATGTATGCAAAACAGGATCAGAAAAAAGAAAGCTCTGGACGTTTCTATAAAGAAAGAGGAAAGTTGGCACCATTTGAACTAATAGAGGCAGTGAACACACACAAAGGGAGGTAAGTATGTTAACCACAGTTTAGCCAAACCAGACTTCCTTTGTTTCCTTGAACTCTCACCTCTTCACTCCTGCCAGGTTCTCTCTGATCTCTGGGCCTTTTGCCTGTTGTTCCTTCTGCCTGGAATATTCTTCCCTGTCCCCTCTGACTGGCTAATTCCATTCATCCTTAAGGCCTCAGGTTTTGAAACTCTGTTTAAGACTAGCTGTGGTGAGCAGAGGCAATAGTATCAGAAAACATTCTGGAAAAGAAGACCAGGCAGCAAAACTGCTACCTCAGAAAGCTACTTACCCTCTCTGATGCCTGTCCTCTGTTTCCAGGGAACGTCTTGACAAAGCTGTTTCAATATCCAGTCGGCTTCTTCTAAGTCAACAAAGCCAGGATACAAACACACCCTTGATGCAAAAGGAACCATTAATAGCCAAAGAACATGGAAAAGATGAGTTAGACTCTAATTGTTGGCGGAAAATAAGTTAATCTGGATGTATCTTCCAGTGGGATGATGAAATCATCTTACCACAGCTCCCACGGTAAGCAGAGCCTAATATTACCCAGATCTTGATGCTCCTGATATAAAATAAGCTCCTTTCATGTTAAAACAAATAAAAGGGGCAGTGAAGGATAAAGGGATGATGCATGATGGCTTTTATAGATCATAATTCAAATACTACTCCAGCACTGCTTAGCTGTGAAACCTTGGGCGAATTACTTAACCTCTCTGAACTTTGGTTTTCTCATCTGTAACCTGAAGATGGTATCTACCTCACAGGGTCACTGTGAAGAGTAAATAGAGTAACTAATAAGATTCATGGCCCTGTGTTATTTAAATAATTAGTAATCTTCTGAGACTATGCTGATTCTAGGGAAAGTTAGAGATCATTAAGACTATATCAAAGTCAACATATCTGATGAGGGTTCTTTTTCCCACTGAATATAAGCTTATTTTAACAATCCCAATTCAGCTTAAAATCGTTTTGGATATCTTTCTTAAGAAATGTTCTGAAAGCCCACAGAACCTTCTCTTGAATAGTCTTGGTGGTAGCAAATCTTCACTTTTTGAAAGTGCATTTGATTTTCTGAAAGAGCCAAAGCTCACCTGAAGCCATACCTGGTTAACAATGACATGCGACCAAAATAATGCAACTGGTTTTCCTGTGTGACTTGCTTTAAAGGGGAATTCCAAAAAAGGCTGTAACAATGGCAGTGCCAATGGACTTCACAGAGCCAAGTCCAGTAGAAGCTTTTTTTTAAAAGCAATTCATTCAGACGTGTAAGTTCTAATATATTTGTTTTAAATGTCTCATTATTTTATAGTGACAATTAGCATACTCATGAAGAAGATGATGCTTTCAAAATGTTTTAAATATAATGACTAATGCCTAATATACTTTAATTTTATTGAAATCCACCCTAATGTAGCAATACAATACACTATATAACATATATGTATTATAATAATATAATACATGCAATATAATGAAAAAACACCATAGCACAGCACAGAAGTCCAGACTAGACTCAACTCTAACACTAAATTACTACGTGGCACTTGGGAAAAAGTACTCATGCTACCTAGGCCTCATTCCCTCTTCTAAAAAACTGGAAGTAACAGTTACTATATTGACAGAAAGGCTGCTAAAATGTGTTGAAGCTAGAAATACTTATAAAAAGGAGATATTACCAAATTTTTGCTCCCCAAGAATTTAAGGGACAGAAGTTACCTTTTTCAAATAAGGAAGCAGACTATTTTAAGAGACTGTAACTTGGTGATAATTATAATCACTTTCTAGTGAGGATTCACTTACCTAGATACACCTGTAGGTGACAGGCTGATTTCATACACACCTTCTCTGCTAAAGAAACAAAGGAAACAGACTTGTTAGTTTGAGGCAAAACAATACACTCCAGCTTTGGTCAAGTGGAAAATTCTACTTCACCCTTCAAAAAACCCAGTTCAGCAACACCTCCTCTAAACCTTTCCTTACCTTTAATCCAGGAAAGTAACGTTGACCATCTCATTCTCCGCACTACTAATAGACCTTAAACATAAGGTCTACTGTTTCATAATGTGCAAGATTACAATTTGTCTGTTTACCTACATGTCTATTTCATTTACTAGACTATGAGCTCCTTAGGAGCAAGGGTTATTATTCTATTTCCTAATGTCGGCACATAGTAGATGGGCAATAAAATCTTACGGAATTACAGCAAATGTAAATACATATAAATTGTTATAGATGTGCCAGGTAGTGAGGTCCATGATAAGAAAAGTGATACAGACTGGATAGGTTCATCTATCAAGACCACTGTGTCAGATCCTTCTCAGAGAGAGATTACATTATAGAGACTAATATAAAGAGACAGTTTTCATATCATCCTCTGTCATGGGAGTTAGCAGTTCATGATCTTTGAGCTAGGTTCTTAGGTAGATATGTGAACCTCTTTGAGCCAAAATGTAGGTATAGTTGTCATACATATTTACCGTATTTCTACAAAGTTGTATATAAAGTTTTCCAGAATATACAGAGAATACAATACTTTAATGTGGTATATGTTGGCCCACATTTAGAAATTGGCTCACTTCAAATGTGCAGGATGTTTCTGGCTATTAAAAAAAAAATCCAGCATAGCTAACTTTAGATAACCAGAATTAACAAACTCTAGGGCCAAGTTAGAATGAGTCCTGTCATTTTTCTCTGACTCACAAACTCACAATTGCCAACTTTTTCAGCTTGAATGTCCCATCTATACCTTGTAATAGGCATCATGGTTTTTGTTTATTGTCTTTATTACCAATGAAGGCAATACCACACTGGTATTCTTAAAACAGTCAAACACTATCAGAGCTAAACAGGTCTTAAGTGATCATACAGCCCAAACCCTTAATTTTACAGATAAGGAAAATGAAATCCAGAGAGATGGAGAAAACCTATTTAAGGACTAGTTATATAGCTAACTAGTGGCAAGGCCAAGACTAGATACTCTCTTTCAAAGTATGCTATCATTTGTGTTAGTTTCAAATTTTTCTAAGATATACAATCCAACCTGCAAGCAGCCAAACAGCATGACAGATTGCTCATGGGCAAGAACATACACCTAATGCTAATTTGCTAAAATAATAGTTTCTACTGACAATTTATCTATGTCAAATGGAAATTGACAAGCAGGAAAAGAGCAGGCAAAGTGTCTCTTGTCAATTCTGGACAAAATATTTTAGACACAAATCAACATGAGAAGAATATTTACTGTCACTTACATTGTTTCCAAATAATTACGTGGTTTTAATAAATGGATTGTAAGGTCATCTAGATTGCTAGAGCTTTCGTAAGCATTGCTAGCAAAATGGTATTTAAAAGCTTTTCACACAGCCATGCTTCAATGACTCAGGAAAAAATCCCCCTCTGTCTTTACCAGAGATGTGTTAGCTTACTGTTCACAGATATCAGTGACACAGGGCCAGGAAATCTACATCAGAATCAAAGTTTAACATACAGAGATCTTGTTGCACTTTCCATACTATAAACAAATTCAGAAAGTCTTCTCAAAAGATCAAATTTAAAGACATCTCAGATGGGAATATCTCAGCCTAACATTAAGACACTTATTGGGTCATTCTCTTCCAGATGAAGAAAACAGGGTGAGGGAAAGAATCCAGGCTTTCCGTTTCACTGTGGGCAAGTTACAGGAAGGCAGTAAATTACTTACTCAATCACTCGTGGCTCTGGGGCTGTACGTACTACCTGCGAAGAAATAGGCAGATCTTATTTCTAAAATAATTCCTTATCCTCAGGGAGACTGATTTACCCTATCCCCCCATTTCTGGTCAAAATAAATCAGGTTTAAAATTATCCCTTTTATTCCAACTTCTCAGTACCCCATTAGAGACCCTTGTTTCTGCTCTTTTTAGAATTACTTCACACTTGCTAGCAGACAATAAAAGATGATACAATTAATCAATTTTCCTAGCAGGCCTGCAGCTCTGGAAAACCCTTCTTTACATAAAGAAAATTTTTTTAGAAACAGAAGATAAATCAAGCATTTTGCTACAATAACTGAAATTTCAATCCAATTCCAAAGACATTTGCTGCAGTAGCACTGAAGACAGCATGGTTTCAGGACTGTCAGAACTTAGATGACGGATGTACGCTCTAGTTATGGTATTTCCTCTAGCCTCTAATCATGGTATAGCCTCCTTTCCAAAAATAAATGGGAATAATATATGACCATAAACTGGGGGCAGATTAGGAAGAATCCTCAGACATATGAAGGACTGAAATACATCACATTTTGTTATTATTATAGTCCTTTTGCTCTGCTATTTATTAGTGAATTTATTCAGTCACTATTTGAGCATCTACTATGTGAATACAGTTTTTATAAGCAAATTTTTGTTACTGTTGAAGGAGAAACAAGAATTTACCTGCTGGGGTTCTTTGAACACAAATTCTCTGTTAGACAGATGGGCCTTGTTCCTCCAGGTCTGACCAGGCATCTGATGGAGATGGCTCTTAGCAGTGGTAGCTAAAACAAGAAAGAGAACAGCCTCAAACCAGGGGAAAGTCTGTTCTCATCACTTCTATGGAGCAAGGGCCAATGAAATCCACTTGGAGATGACCTCTATGACATCTAGAAATTAATTGGTAAACTCAACACACACTGAAAGGTTTGAGGGTATTAACTAAATATGAGGATCACTGAAGACCTATCCTTAGAAAATCAGACAAAATACCAGCCACATTTTAAACAATTTTTTTTAAAGGCAAGTATGATGTGAAATTTATTGAGGGGGAACAAGATAGGATTATACAACAAGAGCAAGATATAGGTTTAGAGAGCAGGATACATATACCACAGACGACAACCAGACCCCCTATCATAGCAAAAGAGCCTCTTAAACAATTCTTGAACATCAATTGAAATGGGAGTCCGTTATAAACCAAAAGGATATAAATAAGAGGACAGCTGTACATGCACACGCACACATCCCCCTACAGGTTCTTGCCTGGCTGAGCAAATGCCTGGCTCTTAGCAGGGGCAGCCCAGGCTCCCTGCACTCGGGCTCGTCGTCTTTTTTCCTCCATGTTGGCCAAAAACGCTTTCAGAAGATTTCGTTCCTGATTCAAATTACACAATGGTATCTGTTTAAAAAAAAAAAAAGTGTTTTTAGTTAGGGTTGTAAAAGTTAATACTTTTAGGCAGAAGAGATGAGTCCATGGTAATCAGAGCTTCTCTGTAAAATCAATTTCTGTCATCACGATATCTCAATCAAGGAACCTAAGTCCTTTGGGGCTGCTGGTTTTAGTGTTCATCTTTTGTAATCTTGTCCTAGCACTTTTGCTTCTTTCACAAGAAAGTGCATGTTAAGAAATTCCAAAACCAGGTTCTATCACAAACCACATTATTCATATTAGTCAAGGGCCTAACATAAGGGAACTGTAATACCCCCATTTTCACCTCCATGGACATTGAGAAATAAGCTGAGACTCGGTTTCCATGTGTAGTTCCATATTCCATTATCACTGGCTGCATAAAATTTCCCCAGAAGCTTGTTAAAAACACCCATGGCCCAGCTCCAAAAAATCTGATTTAGGATACATATAGGCATTTGTCTTTATAACAAGCACTGTAAGGATTTGACAATATTCAGGCATGTATGGGGACAACAAGGTTTAGTGACTCACCCAAAGTCACTCAGGAAATCAACAGTAGGTAGATTAACATTCCATTTTTATTAAGTTCTTGTCTTCAGCTAACTGAAAAATCCACCTCATAATGGCCAGTAATACTAATTTGACATTTTACCAATAAAAGTTTAGCCTAAGCAAATACAGGAGCATGCACAGCTGCAAAAAAACAAAACTGAGGAGGTTCAGGCCACATGTTCCGAATCTATAATCCTTTTCTTTATGGTTCTATCCAAGAAAGCTTCATATCTCAAGTTCTCAAAGGTAACAAGCTCATTTCATAGCTTGTTTAGCCTATAGATTCGCAGGCCCTACCTCCCACCTCTTCTGATCCAGGAGAGCTGAGCAAGGCCCAGGAATCTGTATGTTTAACAAGTTCCCCCGGATGATAAGCATGTAATTCGTCTCATTTAATTGGTGGGGAAATGACAGAAGCTGCCATGGGTCCAAAAGAATTAATGACAGACTCAAATACCAACTCTCCAATCCCAGGAGGCCCCGTTTTCTTTCAACTGAGGTCTTAAAAGCTTAACAAGACAATTAGCTATAGTCCCCAGAAAGGCTATCACCTGCTCACCTTCTTGTTCCGCTCACTGGGGAACGATATTTTATTTGTCAGGCAAAAACTGTTGGAAAATATAGATTCCGGAGCCCCATCTCAGTCTTACTCAATTTGTGGAGTTCCAGAATTTGTTAACTAACGCCACCCTGCACCCAGGAATTCTTTATGCAGATAAAGCTTGAGAACTCTGCTGCAGTGTAAAGAATAAGGACTCTGGCGCCAGCCAGGACTCGCTTTGAATCCAGATCTGTCACTTCCCGGCTGCATGATCTGCGGCAAATTACTTCACCTTTCTGAGCCCCAGTTTCTTCCTCAGTAAATAGGATAACCAATACCTCCCTCACGGTTGAGGTGCAGATTGAGGGAGCCTCGCAGGTGAAAGAGCCTGGTCCTGGATAAGGGTTAGCTCCTTTCCCTAATTTAGACTCTTCTTCTATTCCAGGAGGCCCCGAAGGTCGCCTGGGAAGAGACCTCAGGGGCGGTCCTCACACCCTCAGCCCCGGTTACGGAGCAGTAAGTCGGGAGAGCGCACCTGCTGGCGGAGCCGGGAGCGCGGATCCAAATCCGCTAGGCCTAGGAGCGGACCCCGCTGCCCCGGCCGACTCTGTAGCCGGTGGACGGGGGAACCCTAAGAGGGAGGCACCAACTCCAGCAATTCCCAACCACAGGCCGCGGCATCAGGAACTTCCTCCCGACGACACGCGCCGCCCGCCGCCACTTCCGGTGCGCCGCCTGGAGTCCGGCAGCCCCACATTCCCCGCGTCTGAAAAACCTAGTCACGGGGGTGCCGTTGAGGGGGCCGGGGATGGAGCGGAAAATAGGGATGGAGCGTGTGGTGGAGCGGTATGAGGGGTCGGGGTATGGCACAGGTGGACGTGAAGACGTGCCTCCTAGGCTGAGGTCCTCGGGACGTGAGTTCCTTGAAACTGGAGACATTCAAGCACTGGCATCTTTGGTCAATGGAGGAAAGAGCGATCCCAGCGGGGCTGGTGGAAGGGCGAGGAAGTTGTGAGGTCCAGGTCGTGATGTGCTAAGCAAAACGATTTGCATTTTATTCTGGAAGCCATGGAGAGCCTAAGATACGCCTCCTTTTTTTTCCATTGCAGCCTGTGCATAGTTCCGATCATTGCACTTACGACGGGGCATAGGACCACACCTTAATTCGTCTTGGCTCTCCAGTGCTCAGCAAATTTTGCTTAAGTGAACAGACCTACTTTTCGGTCCAGATCCACCCTTTACTAGGTGTGTAATCTAGGGCAAGAACATAGCCCCTGTTGGGAGGATTAAATGAGATCATGTATTTAAAGAATTTACCACAATGCCTGGAACACAAAAGAAACTCAATAAATATAAAGAGCGTTAAGAGTGCCTTCTCTTCACCCCATTTGTGCTCTGAGAAACATATTAAGCCTGGTATTAGTGCTTACCTGCAGGAAGCTCAGCGTACCCCATCAATGTACCTATATTGTTGTTACTATCAAATCCATTTTCCCAGCATATATTATTCTTTATTGAACTTTGTGACATTGAAGGAAAAATCATTTATCCTAGAACTGAAAGGAGAGAAAGTGATAAGGCCAGACTACAGTTTTTGTCTTTTTTTTTTTCCTTCCATCGACTAGTAATTTGTCAGTGCCTTCTTCTGGCTCAGGAACCTTGGCTATGTCTTCCGAAAGATGTCATTTCTTTCTCTTCAATGATCATAGTTTTGGAACAGGAACAAACTATGGACTAAGTCTGGATTCAAGAGGTCTTAAAAGTAGTGATTACACCTCTTCAGCCTCCAAGTAGAGCATTTCTCAAAAATCAGTCCACGACTCACTTTCATCTGAAATCACTGCATTTTTTAACAGGATCACTTGCATTTTTAACAAGTACTCAAATGATTCTGAAGCACAAAAAGCTTGAAAACCTCTGCAACACATGTGGGGTGACAAATTACTCTGGTTTGTCTGGGACCGAGGGGTTTCCCAGGACACAGGACTTTAAGTGTTAAAGCCAAAACAGTCCTGGACAAACTGAGATGGCTGGTTACCCTGGATACATGTGTGTATGTAGTATTAGAAAGACGTTCTTGATAGTCTTGGCACCCTCATTTGGGTCTTGGTTGCCTTATTTCTATTTGCAGCATTTGGGTTTCCATCAGGAGGTGGTAGTAGAGACCATGGGAGAGGGAATGAAAGTGAAGTGCATTGCCAGTTATCCACCCACCGATTCTCCATTCCAAATCCACCTTTCACTGTGCTGCCTGCAATATTGGAACATTTCTCCCTTGCCATTTGGCCCAGTGAGTAGTAAGCTTCATCAGTGGAGGGTGCTGGAGGAATATTAGAGTAGGAAGGGGCTCTTTCTGGTTCCAGGGTGCTCCTCTCAGCTGGCTCTTCAGTGCACAGTGGCCAGCAGTGTTTGACTACTCCCGTGGGCTGAATTAGAAGGTTAGTGGAATTTACAGCCTTATGAAAGTTAAGGCATAAATTGGGAAGGAATGGAATCCCGTAACTTGAAATAAGAACTCTGCTTGGACCCAGATAACTGACAGTTTTGAACAGCCAGGTCACCCTTGTGCCTTTCTTGGCAGTGGAAGTAGCTTGCCCTCCTATGTCTGAGGATACTAGTCATCCTTTGCTTGAAAACACTGCTAGACCCTCATCTGGAGCAGATGACTTGGAAAGGGAGGCTCATTCTCTACAAGCCCCACCACAACTTACTGCCCTTCCTTCTGCCCTATTGCCACCAAACCCATAACTAGGTTCAAATCTCATAATGCTCCAGGTGGGCAGGTACACACTGTGATAGAAGACAAAATAGCCTGCACACAAAAAGGATTATACTACTTTGCTAATGTATATCAGCAGGAAACCAGAGAACATGCGTGGAAATGGCTTCTAATTGTTTTAAACAAAGGAAGGCAGTTTATAATACTAGATCAGGACAAATTAATTTACGTGGATGCACTTACTAGAGATACACTTATGGACATACTGTGTTGACTCATGCAACTAAATGTGACTCCAACAGCTTACTTTGTGGATTTACTGAAGCTTTAATTCAGCAGTGGTCTATAGTCAATGCTACTGAGATACCAAAGCATGATATAGAGGAGGGAAACCAAGGACTTGGCGGGGCGTGGGTAGAAATGTTGGACTGGATTTATCATGTATGACCTCAACCTGCACACAACAGACACAAACACAAAAACTGTCCCACAAAAAACCCCAAAGACACTCCTTTCTCTAAGGCATTGAGAAATACTTTGGAGAAGAAAGCACCTGCATCCTTGAAAATCTCTGTGGTTGCCCTCCATAGGCCAGGTGTCACCATGAGGGATATCCACCAATGAGTTGGGCTCCCAGGTTTTAGTGGAGATGAGGCCAAGTGGCAGCACTTAATTTTTAAAGGTGGGCACATCAACCCTGTAGAGCAGCAGGGGTATATCAGTAATCACAATACCTTGGCCTATAAAGATCTTTGGTAGTGGCCATGATATCTCTAGGAATGAAAGAGATGGGCAACCTACTAGAGAATTGTTTGATCTATCAAACAGAAAAAATTCTAGGACTAGTGACTAAAAACATGACCTGAGTTGCCACAGTGGATAGATACAGTCTCTCACCTAATTTCCAGACCTAAGTCATATCACAGGTCCAAGCCTCTAAATTGAAGGAGAGGCCAGATCTTGAGGAAGGACCTTCTACCATTGCCACAAATTTATACTATAAATTTCCCTCCAACACTTCATCCAAGTGAGTGTAGCCACTTACTAGAATTATTGCACATTGGGGAAAAGTAAATATCCAGACCTTTTAGGGGTTACTGGACACTGTCTCTGAACTGTCTTTAATTCCTGGGAACCTAAGACATTGTGGCCCACCAGTGAAAATGAGGGCTTATGATGTTCAGGTGATAGATGGAATCTTATCTCAAGTTTGACTCCCAGTTGACCTATTTGGTCTATAGAGCCATGGTTATTTCCCCAGTTCCTGAATGTATGCAGATACAGCTTGACTTGTAATGGAGTTACACCCTAATAAATCCATTGTAAGTTGAAAATACCATAAGTTGAATGTATTTAATATACCTAATCCACAGAGCATCAAAGCTTATCTTAGCCTACCTTAATCATACTCAGAGCACTTACATTAGTTTATAGTTGGGCAAAATCATCTCATGCAAAGTCTATTTTATAATAAAATGTTGAATATCACATGTAATTGATTATTGAAGTATGATTCCTACTGAATGCGTATCGTTTTCACACCATCATAAAGTCGAAAAATCGTTAAGTAGAATCATCATAAGTCAGGGACTGTCTCTAATTGGATTAAACATATTTCAAAACTGGCAGAATCCCCACATTGACTCTCTGACCCACAGGGTAAGAGCCATTTGGTAGGAAAGGCTAGGTGGGAACTCCTGGAACTTCCTTTCCCTACCAAGATTGTAAAACAACAATAGCAATACCACATTCCTGGAGGAATTGCAGAGATTTATGCCACAATCAAAGACTTGACAGAATCAGATTGTGATACTTATCACATTCTCATTTAATTTTCTGTTGACCTGTGCAGAAGTCAAATGGATCTTGGAGAATGACTGAGGGTTATTATAAATTTAATCAGGTGGTGGCTTCAATGCCACTGCTATCCCAGATGTGTTATCTTTACTGATCCAATTTACATGACCATTTGCATTTGGTATGCAGCCACTGACCTGGCTAATGTCCTTTTCTCCATATCAATTTACAAGAAACATTCTGTCTTTCCTTGGCAGGGCCAACAGTATACTCTCACAGCCTTGCCTCAGGGGTACTTTAATTCTGCTGTTGCCATAGTAGAGTCCACAGATCATTCTGTCTGATATTCCACAAAATATCACACCAGTCAACTGTAATGATGACATAATGCTGATTGGATATGATCAGTAGAAGGCAGAAAATGGTTTAGATGCTTTAATAAGACATATGTGAACTAGAGGATGGGAGATAAACTCCATAAAAATTCAGGGGCCCACAACCTCAGTGCAGTTTCTGGGGGTTCAACAGTCTGAAGCATGTTGAAGATATTCCTTCTAAGGTGAAAGACAAATTGCTGCACTTCACGCCCCCATTGTGAAAAAAGGTATATCACACTTGTTAGGCCTTTATGGATTTGAGGGGGAATGTATACCACATTAGAGGGAACAACTCTGTGGAGTCAATCCATAAGGCTGCTGATATCGCACCAGATACCAGCAGATATAGAACCAGATCAAGAGATGGCTTCGCAGTGAATTCAGGTTGTGGTATAAGTTGCTGTACCACTTGGACCTTTTGATCCAGGAGATCCAGTGATACTCCAATGTGTCTATGGCAAATAGGAATTCTGTATAAAGCCACTGCCATGCACTAATAAGAGAATCACAACTCAGACCTCCAGGATTTTGAAGCAAATCTATGACCTCTTTTACATAAATGGGCTCATGCCCATGAAATTAACTCCCCACCAACTGGGAACAGTTGAGCTAATCAAAAGATGGAATGGCTTACTAAAGACAGTTATGGCCCCAGTTGAGAGACAATACCTGAAAGGGTGGAATTTCATATTATGGG